ACTTCCGTCTTTGCTCTTCCCACCCCCTAAGCCAAGCAGAGGACCAATGCCGACAATTAGTGGATCTTGGCTTCCCCACTAGGGTTTCCCAGTGACACCCAAGCTCCATCCTCGGACCTGGGCCCTCTAGCCAAGAACCTGGCAGGGGAAACATCTTGACCGCCCTGTACGACGTCTGCCACCGCGCTGCGGACCCGAGGCGCCCTGGGACTTCACGCCCTCGCTTGGGGTCTGCTCCTCGGCCCGGACCCAAACCCCCAAGGGGGGCTGCCCTGCCGTGAAAAGCCCCCGCATGCACTGACCATCGCTAGAGCTTTTACAAACACCACTGCGAGGTGGGACTGGCGGCGGGCTTCACGGGGACACCGCCGCGAGCTGACTGGTTCGACGGACACCGCCGCGAGGCGGTGGCTGGTTCGTTCACGGACACGCCGCCGACTGCGGTGGGACTGGGGTTCACGGACACCGCCGCCGAGTGGACTTGGGGTTTCACGGGACACCGCCGCGAGGTGGGACTGGCTTCACGACACCGCCGCCGATCCGCCGGTGGGAATGGCGGTTTCAGAAGGCCCCCCGCCCTGACACCGCCGCGAGGGTGGGAAATGGGGTTCACGCGACACCGCCGCCAGATGGGTGCGGCGAATGGGTTCGCACGCGACACCGCCGCCCTGAGGGGTGGGGAAATGGGTTCACGGACACCGCCGCGAGGTGGGAATGGGGTTCACGGACACCGCCGCGAGGTGGGAATGGGGTTCACGGACACCGCCGCGAGGTGGGAATGGGGTTTACGGACACCGCCGCGAGGTGGGAATGGGGTTTACGGACACCGCCGCGAGGTGGGAATGGGGTTTACGGACACCACTGCGAGGTGGGAATGGGGAGAAGTTCTGGGGCCGACCTCACACTCCTGCTCGCCCAATTTTCCAAGGAAGGGCGCTGTGAGATTCTAGGAACACCCTTGGTGGGCACGTGGGTGGGTTTGCCTGGGAAGGGAGTGTGAAGGCCCCTCAAGTTTCTCAGGCTTCAACCCCTCCCCCAGGCTGGAATCTGGGGCCACCCTGTTCCTGGATGGCCAGGCATGCCAGGAATGGCCCCAGCTGTCGGCCTGGCCCAGAGCAGCTGCAGCATCTTCTCTGGGCCCCACCCTCTCTAGCTGCTGCAGGCTTCAGAGAAGGGATGTGGAAGAAGAGGCGTGGAGGCAGCTGTCTCCTCCAAAGCACAGTGTCTGGGGCTGTCCTGCCGCTGTGGGAAGAACAGTGGCCTGGGAGCCACTCCCCTTCTTGGCCTTGGTCACAGTCACCTGAGCTAACAGCCTCCGCCTGGCCCGCAGGGTGCTGCTGACTCTCTCCCAGAGACCAAGGGGCTCCCAAAGCCCAGATGCAGAAGTGGGGCCCTTCCCAGCAGGCTGGGGCTCTCTGTGAGTCCGCAGTGCTGCCCCAGACCTCAGCTGCCTCCCAGCTGGGGTGGGGTCCCAGGTGTAGAACCAGCAACTAGGGATGGTGTGGGTGCAGCAGGCTTGACGGGCCAGTTCTGAAGACACAGTCTGCCCCCTACCTCCCTCCAGGTGGGGCTGAGTGAGCTCAAAAATCAGAGGTGGCCCGAGCAGGGGAGCAACCCCTCACTTGGAGAAGGCCCTGATGGGACCACGCTGCCTGCCTGGGGGCTCACCAGGAGGCGGCTTGGGACCCCTAGGCTGCCCAGGAGAGCACACAGTCCTGAAAGCTGAGCCGGTGGGGGAGGCGCAGGCAGGGTCCTGACACGGACATATTTTGCCTCATAGTGGAGTGAATTTGAGCTTTGGCTATAGACCCCTTGCCAGCTGGCCCCCACCTCCACCAACTCCTCCAGCCTCCAGCTGTCAGCGGAGGGGGCTATCGTCCCCCAGCCCTGGGGGAGAAAAGAAGGGATAGTGAGAGGGGAGGCTTCTGGGGAGGGAGAGGTCCTGCCTGCCTCCCCACCTGCCACAGAGCCCCCCAGGGCCTGTTGAAAGGCAAACACCCCCAAATCCAAAGGAAGAGGTCTCAAGGAATGTTTTCACAGGCGCCAGCCTCCCCACCACCATGCCCCAGGTTGGGGTGCCAGGGAAGAAACGCTGTCCCCAGGGCAGGTGGAGAAGGGCCCTGGAGGCATGGAGCCCCCCAGGCTGTGCTCCCCGGCAGAGGGCTGAGGGGTGGTGAGCCTGGGGGTGAGCACGCATGCTGAACCACTCTCTCCCCCCGCCACTGTCTCCAGTTGGGGGAGTGGGGGGGTGGCAGGAGCCGTGGTGCCCCTCAGGGACAGCTGCTGGAGGGTCTGGCTGGCCAGGCGCCTGGTCAGCTGCCAGGGGCTGAAATTGGAGCCAGCTGGAGCCAGGAGGCCTGTGGGAATGAGGGGACTCAGGAAGCCCTGTCAGTGGGGGCTGGGAAAGGAGTGGCTTCCCTTACTCACTGTGTCCAGCACTCCCTCACCACCCTGGGACCACAAGAGTAACGAATGCTGTGAGTGCCGCTAAGCCCTTTATGTGCATTCTCTTAAACTGGCAAGAGGCTGCCCTCTTGTACCCAGTGACATCCCAACCACAGCCAGCTGTGCCCCAGCCCAGTCCCTGGGGGCTGAAGCCACTGAGGCCACATCCTCCATGTCCAGGCCCCTCTAGAGGGTGAGGAGACGTGGCTCCAGCTAGGCAGGACCCATGGCGGGTGTAGGGGGCCGAGGCCTGGGCTTCCTTCCACGCTGGTTTTCTCCCATGTTGGAGAGACCACAGTGCCAGCAGTCCAGAGAAGATTTTTAGAGGCAGAGTCCAGCAGTCTCTGGGGGCCGGGCCCCCAGGCCTGATCACCCCAGGCAGCTGCTGCAGGGGCCCAGGTGAAGCCCAGGAACCCAGGGCTGCCACACACCACTCGGCAAGGTCCTGTGTGTCGGGACCTGGCTCAGGCTGGGCCCTTCCAATCGAGAAATAGCCGAGTGTGAGTTCCTGGGGGCAGGGCCTGCAGCCACCCCTGCTAGACGGGAACTTGGGGTGGGGGGTTTGGACACCACCCAAGACTAGCCAGGGATCATGTGCCCGCCGCAGGGAGTCCCTATGGAAACCTGGCCGCCAGGGCCCCCAGACAGGGGCGCTCCTGTCGCTCCCGCCTCTCTCTGCTCCACTCAAGACTGGCAATCCCCCGACCCCGGCAGGGGTCCCTCCAAAGACAGGGCACGGCCTGCTGGATGGTCCCTGCCTGACCCCAGCAGGACTCTGCAGTCCTGGGGGTGAGTCCACCAGGTGGAGGGTTTGGTTGCACTCACTCCCCACAACCCCGGGAGTGCGCCCCCACCCCAGGGACCCACCCGGGGCCACTCAGCTCACAGGTCCCCAAAGGCGGCCAGGGCCAGTGGTTCCGGGGGAGACCTGTGCGGCTGCAGTTGAAGACACTGTCCCGCAGGGCCTGGGGAGGCAGCGGGGACCCGCGCAGGTGCGGATGCCTTACCTGGGCCAGCAGCCCGAGGACGAGGAGGAGAGCGGCGTCCATCGGGGCCGAGGCGGGAGCGGGGCCGGAGTGCACCCGCGACCCGAAGGAGCGAGTCTGGGCTGAGTGACAGCGCAAGTGCGCGGGGCGGGCCAGGGCCAGAGACAGCACGTGTGAGCGGGGCGGGGAGGGGCGGGGCGAGGGCTGAGTGACAGCACGAAGAAGGCCTCTGACGGGCCGAGGGCCGGCCTGGGCAAGGCTAAGGCTGAGTGACAGCATGTGGGCAGGCGGGTGGGGCGGAGCCTCTGGTGGGCCAGGGCGGGGCCGAAGGCTGAATGACAGCGCGTGTGCGAGTGGGGCAGAAGGGGCGGGGCCGGGGCCGAGGGCTGAGTGACAGCGCAGGTGCGCCTGCGGGGCGGTGACCACACGTGGCTGGTGGGGCGGAGCCAGAGGAGGATGGGGCGTGTGGGGCGGGGCCGAGGGCTGAGTGACACCTTGTGAGCGTGCGGGGCGGAGCCGGGGCGGGGCCGAGGGCTGAGTGACAGCGCGTGCCGGGCTCTGGCGGGCAGGGCCGGGGCTGGGTCGGAGATGCCCCGGCTTGCTGCGTCGGGCTGTGGGGAAGGCAGGGTGGGTGGGGCCGGGTCAGGCACCAGCTGAGATTCCTTGCTTCTTCATTTCCTGCTCCTTGGGCCCCGGCTCGCCCCTGCTCCAGGGCGTCTGCACTGCAGTCTCTGCGGGGGACGCCTCCTGAGCACTTCCTTGGGCCCCTCGCCGCTCTGGCTGCGTCTCCTGCGCCTCCCCGCATTCCAGTGAACACTAGGCCCACCCTCCACGCACCTCTTCGCAGCCTCATTTTACCCAGCTTCTATTCAATATGGAGCGGCTCTGGTTCACACGCCTCTGATACCAGCGCAGCTCGTAGGACACCCCCAATTCCTCCCGTCCACGCGCCTCCTCCAGCACCCCCTTGTTCCCCGAGGCCCCCTGCCTGGAGCACCTTCCTTCCTACTGAGCTCCTTCTCATCATCCCTCAACGCCCAAGATCAACGCCGCCCCCTCCTGGCGCCTCCTTGCCACCTGGCCAGAAGCCCGCCCTCCTGTTGACTGTGGCACCTACTCTCCCCTTCGAGGCCCCGCCCCCTGGGAGGGCGTGGGTGTGGCTCAACACCTGCACAGGCCCCGTGCATGGTCAGGGAGGTCCTGGAGGGAGGGTGGAGGGGGCTGGAAGGAGAAGGACCCTTTTGAGCAGGCAGGGTGAGGAGTGGGGGTTGCTGACCAGCCCAGAGCCGGGCTGGGAAGCCCGTTCCTCTCTGTGGTTGGAGCAGGCCCGGTGCCTCTGCTCTCCTCTCGACTGTGGGTGGTTGTGCAGGTGCAGGCACCATCTGTGTACTTGGCCTGCTTGGAAGGAGGCCAGGCTGCCCAGGAGGCTCAGGCCAGGACTGTCCCTGGCGCTCACTGTTCCAAGATGAGAGAGGGCAGGGAGTCCATCTCCAGACTGGGAGGCCTCTGGGGCTAGGGTGTAGCCTGTTAGGGACCACTGTCCCACCTCGGTGGTCAGGGACTTCAAACTAGGGGTGGAGAAGCCCTCTGAATGCTTTTGGTGTTCAGCCTCACGGGACTAGTGCAGGGGTGAGGTAGAAGTGTTCGCCCTCCCCCCAGAAAGAGGCCTGGGGAGGCTGCCGTCTGCCACCCCCAGCTGCTCTCTTCCACCCTGCACCCACCCTGCTTCAACCACCTGCCTCCCACCCACCTCGGGAAGAAATGGAGGCCAAACACCTCCTCCATGGGATGTGGGGGTTTCTAAGGGAAAGGCTAAGCTGGGCCAAGTCCTGGGTGAGCCCCAAATGCAGGGCAGGGCCAGGGAGGCAGCAGGCTTGGCCACTGTGGGAGGGTGTGCTCCCTGGTTGGCTGGTCGTCCTCCAGGGGCAGGTGCCCCAGCGAAGGACCCTGCTCCACGTGCTCCCAGGGCAGCAGGAAGGCCAGGAAACAGAAGCCTGGGTCCAGTCCCACCTAGGAGCCTTGGGCTGGAGGTTCTCCCCCCGGGCCTCAGTTTCCCCTTGTGTCAGAGGAAGGTGGCAGGGAAGGGCTGGATACCCTGAGTCTGGAGGTCCTGTACAGTGAGGGGCAGGGCTCCATTTTCGGCTGCAGGACCATCAGCCCTAGAAGAGCCCTCCTCTTTCCTATTGGACCCAGAGATGCCCAACCCTCCCTCTGCACCCCAAGCCTCCAGCGGGGACCCCACTCTGGGCATTCCCCTCCTTTTTCCAGAGTCTGCAGTCCTGGGCCTTCAGGACTCACCCCCATCACTCCTGCCCTCTGTCTTGCCCACCTCAACTCTCCAGCTCGGGGGACACGCCTCATGGGCATGGGGTGGGGGCAGGGCCAGCCGAGGTGTAGAGGGGGCTCCCTGGTCCACAGCCTCAGTTCCCTCCCTATTTCCTCTCCCCAGTATGAGGAACTGGGGGACAACAAACAGGGCCCCGGACCCCCCAGGAGCCCTGCTGCCTTGGATGTCCCAGAGGTGCCCCCAGCCCCCAGCCCTGGGCCGCCCCTCCCGACGCCGCAGGCAGTGACCCAGAGTGGGCTGAGGAATTTCCAGCTTTCTCACGACAGATGCAGGCAGCTGCCAGTTTTCAGCTGAGACGCCTTGGTGTCTGCTCTGGAGTGATTCTGTAATCGCACAGTGCAATAACGGTGCTTGGCCCTCTATTATTAAATTGTATTTATGTAATTACAGTGTATAAATATAAATATACACGCACACCCCAGCCACTAAGGGGCAGGCGTGATGCGGGACGCTGGGGTTGAGCAAGGTGTGCCTGACAGGGGCCCTGTGGAGGCCCCAGGCTTAGGCCAGGTGCAGCTCCGTTACCAGAGAGGCAGTGGGGGCTGGAGGGCAGGGGTTAGCTGGTGTGAAGGCGGGTCATACCCATGGTGCGGGGTGTGGAGGGCAGAGGGGAGACGTCCAGGGAATCTCGGTGGCACTGGACACCAAGGGAGGGGACCCCGGTGTGAGGAGGCCCTGGTCTTGGTCTGGCAGCTGTGTCCATTCTGGACCTGAGGGGGAGGGGCTCCGGGGGCTCGCTCTGCAGGCAGCAAGTGCTCCCTGAGGACCCCCTGGACAGGTGCCCCCGTCTGACAGGCAGGTCCTGAGGCTGGAGGAGGCTGGGGTGAGGAGGCAGACACAGGTGGGGCCTGGCCAGGAGCCTGGTATTGGCCATGGGCCATGCCCTTCCAACATTCTACTCTGGCCTGGAGGCTGCCAGGGTGCTGGGGTGAGGCTGACACCCAGTCCTGGGACTGTCAAGAGCACAGACCAACATATCTGGGCAGACGAAGGTCCCCACGGAGTGAGTGAAGGGTGGGGAGTGGATCTGGAAGGGCGAGGGCCACCAGCCCCCATGGCACCTGAACCCCACGGCCCCTGAGCCCTCACCGCCCCTGAACCCCACGGCCCCTGAGCCCTCACCGCCCCTGAACCCCACGGCCCCTGAGCCCTCACGCCCCTGAACCCCACGGCACCTGAGCCCTCACCGCCCCTGAACCCCACGGCCCCTGAACCCCCCCGCCCCTGAGCCCTCACCGCCCCTGAACCCCACGGCCCCTGAGCCCTCACCGCCCCTGAACCCCACGGCACCTGAGCCCTCACCGCCCCTGAACCCCACGGCCCCTGAACCCCACGGCTCCTGAACCCCCACGGCCCCTGAACCCCACGGCCCTTGAGCCCTCACCGCCCCTGAACCCCACAGCCCCTGAACCCCATGGTCCCTGAACCCCACGGCCCCTGAGCCCTCACCGCCTCTGAACCCCACAGCCCCTGAACCCCCACGGTCCCTGAACCCCACAGCCCCTGAACCCCATGGTCCCTGAACCCCACGGCACCTGAACCCCACAGCCCCTGAGCCCCCACGGCCCCTGAACCCCCACGGTCCACTGAGACCCGCACGGTCCCTGAACCCGGACGGCCGCTTGAAACCCCCACGGTCCCTTTTATTTGTTTTTTCTGTGTCTCTGAACCTCTACGGCCCCTGTG